GAATTTTTAGGAAAGAATTTCTCTGTGGCGAGGGCTGTGGGTGCAAATGCCCAGATGCGAGCACACAGGAGAAAATCATTAAAACACCACTGTAATAGTTGCTACAGGTAAGCTCCAGTGATCAATGCTTAAGTTATTGGGGGTAAGTAAGGAGAAACAGAATGTTTGTATAACCTCAAAGTATTTCCCCCAAAATATTTACTAAATATTGTGATGGTTTTAACATATTTCCACAAATCTTTGACACTCCTCTCTTCAGAAGGTGCAGCTTAGATTTCCTCTCCTTGAATGTACACTACACTTGTGACTTGCTTTTAAAGAATGGAGTGTGGAAAGGTAGAAATGTAACTTTTCAAAGGTGAGCATAGCTGATACCACCTTAATCCAATGATCAAGGTTAATATCATCACTAATAAGATACATTAATATCATGAACCCCAAATATGGTGCAATAAGGACTCAGCATTTTTGTGTTTTTTTTTCCTCCCAACTATTCATAACCTTAGTTATTCATAAGAAAACATCACACAGGCCCAAACAAAATACCTGGTCAGTACTCTTCAAAAATGGTAAGGAAATAAAAAACAGGAAAAGGCCAAGAAACTTTTACAGACTGCAATAGACTAAGGGGCCCTGACAATACATGCAAAGTCATATCTCAGATTGAATCCTGGAATAAAAAAGGACATTAGTGGAAAAACTGGAAAAATCTAAACCAAGTCTATAGTTTGGCTGATAATACTATATCAACATTAATTTCTTAGTTTTGATCATTGTACCATGATTGTGTAGGATGGTAACATCAGAGCTGCTGAGCGAAGGATATATGGGACCCTCTGTATTTGCATTTATTCTATAAGGCTAAAGTTATTTCAAATAGAATGTTAAAATGAAAAAGGCAACTGATTGCTTAAAACAAAAATAAGAACAATGTACTCTGGAGTTTTGAATACAGAGAGAGGTAAAATACATGACAACAGTAGCACGAAGGATAGAAAGGAATAAATGGAATGATAATCTTCTAAGTTTACATTATACATAAAGTTGTATAATAGCAATTCAAGGCCGATGGTGCAAGATAAGGACGCATATTACAATACTTAGAGTATTTCCTGAAAAAAAGGGGAAAAAGTAAGGGTAAAAAAAGAAGAGAGGAGATAAAATGGAATACTAAAAAAATACTCAATGACCTCTAAAACAGGAAATAAAGGGGGAATGAAGAAAAGACAGAACAAATGCAAAGCAAGTAGCAAAATGTAGATTTAACCGTATTAGGACTTAGAGTAAATAAAAATGAGTTACGCACTGCAAACTTAAAAATTATCAAACTGGATAAAAAATAAGACTTCACCATATCCTGTTCATAAAAATTTCACAATGATACACACAGTTTGATACAGTGACAGATAATTTAAAAAGAAAAGGGTGGGAAAAGATAGACCATGGAAATACTAGGCATAAGAAAACTGGTATGGTTTTATCAAAAGCAAAAAAAGTAACCTTCAAGAAAAGAAAAATGTAGTAAATGTAGCAGGTTAAATCCCTCTGGAATTTACATGAATATAGTACATGAATATTCATAGCAGCAGCATTATTCATAATAACCAAAATGTGGAAATTATCCAAATGTCCACCAACTAATAAATGGATAAACAAAAAATTGTTTCCCTTCATCTCATTTACTTTTATTATTTATTGCTAGGATATAGAAATAGAATTAATTTTTGTATATAGAGCTTATAACCTGTAATCTTGCTGAACTTGTTATTTGTTCTAATAAAATGTGTGGAGGTTTTTCCTTGCAACACCAGCTGGGTGTCCTTACAATTCGACTCAATTCTAACACTATCTACCTGGAGCTAGTGTCAGATCCCACAGGTTAAAGGCTCGGTCTCACAGGACGGCTCCCACCCTACTTCAGATGCCTCTCACAGGTAGTAGGTCTGCAGGGGACCCACAAATTATGTCCAACTTGGCTACAAATCAGAGGCTCCCGCAACCCACTCCTCAGATTTAATTAATTTGTTAGAGCAGTTCACAGAACTCAGGGAGGCAGTTATGTTTATCAGTTTAGTATAAAAGGATATGATCAAGACTGCAGATAAATATCCAGATGGAAGAGAGGCACAGGGCTGGGTGGGTGGGAGGGGGCACGGAGCTTCCATGCCTTCTCTGGGCATGCCACTCTGCCAGCACTTCCACATGTTCACCAACCTGGAAGCTCTCTGAACCCTGTACTTTGGGGATTTTATGGAAGCTTCATCACATAGGCATGTAAGATGCATTTTGGATCTGATTTCTCTCTGGAGAATGGGAGATGGGGCTGGAAATTCCAAGCTTCTAATCATGGCTTGGTCTTTCCAGTGACTAGCCCTCATCCAGGAGCCCACCCAGAGTCACCTCATTAGAATAAAAGACACTCCTATTATCCAGGAAATTACAGGAGATTCAGAAGCTCTGTGCCAGGAATTGGAAGCAGAGACCAATACATATATTCTATTATTTCAAACTAGGATTTTTCCATTTTACCTAGGCTATCTAATCTGTTAGCACACTATTACCCATACTATCTTTTATATTTCTTTTTATTTTTGTAAGGTCAGACCCACTACCTGATTTCAAGACTTACTATAAAACTATAGTTATGAAGATGTCTTCGGACACAGAAAGCACTCACCATAAAAAGAAAAAAAATGAGTAAATTAGATACAATCACACTAAAATTTTCTGCTCACCAAAAATACACCATTAAGAAAATGAAAAGGCAAAGCCAATACTGGATGAAATATTTGCAGTAAGTATATATGACAAATGACTTGTTTTTAGATATATAAACAACTCTTATAGGTCAATAATAAAAAGACAACCCAATTTAGAAAAACATGAAAGAGACTTAGACTGTCCACAAAGAAAATAAACAATGGCCCAGGAGCACACAAAGTTCTCCACATCATTAGCCACCAGGTAAGTGTGAATTTAAATATACCATTATATTTAAAGATGAATTTAAAGATACCCTTTCATACCTACTAGTCTATATAGAATTAAGAAAGAGATGAAACAATGTAGGTAAGGACATAGCGTAACTGGAATTCTCATACTTATACAAGAGTTTAAAATGGTACCACTTCCCTGAAAAACCAGCAGTTTCTTATAAAGTTAGATGTACACATACCTAATTACCCAGCAAGTCCTCTCTAGGTATTTACTGTAACAAAAATGAAAGCCTTGTGCAGGAATGTTCACTGTGGCTTATTCAGAGTAGCTGAAAGTCTGGCAACAATCCAAATGTTCATCTCTGTGAGAATGGATTAAAAAATAATTGTAGTTTATTCATTTAATGTTACTATTCAGCAATAAAAATTAACAAACTATGAACAACACTGAGGAACGTTAAGACACTATATTGAATGAAATAAACTGGACACAAAAAAATTCATATTGTATGTTTCCAAAAATCTAAGCTGTGGGGATAGAAATCAGAAAGGTGCGTGTCTCTGCTGTGTTGCTGAGGTGGGGGCCAACTGCAAAGGGCCTGAAGGACATGGTTTATAATCGGTTTGCTTGTTCATTACACAAGGGTATATGCATGTCAAAACTCACCAAAAGATACACTAAAATCTGTGCATGTAATTATATGCAAATTAAGCTTCAAAAATATATTGAATAAGACGTCAGATGGGAGTGATTTACGTTTTCTTCCAGGAGGCTTGGGTTGAGGTTAGTGTTGCCAACAGAAGCTCAGTCTATACGAATGGCTGTTCACATGCCCAGGAATCCAGCCTTGGGTGCAGTAAGAGCAGAGGTGCACCACCCCTCTGAGCCCCTCCCAGCCAGGCCTACAGCAGCCTGGTAGTTCCACAAGCCCGCAGCACACTAGATTGGCAGAGTGTCTCCAAGTACCTTCTTGTTATAAATCCTGACACCAGCGTACCCATTGGAGAAGTAAATTTCAAACACACACCAATTCTAAACTATGCAGAAACTAATGCTTATTAACACTGAGAAGTAGGATTGAATAGGGAGGAAAGAACACAAGGTAAGTGTGGATAAAGTGAAGGTTCCTATGGCCAGGATTCGCACCTGGTCCTGGTCAGCTTGCTCACTACACACATGTGGGCAATATGTCATTATTGACTCTATATAAAGAGTTCCACCCAGTGCTCTGGGCTGCATGGCTGCAGGAGAACAGAGACAAGACAGAAGCGTGGCAGTGCCGAGGACAGAGACTGAGATGGCTGCGGGGGCAGAGAGGCCCAGAGGAAGAGACAGGCTTGCTGCATGCAAACTCGCTTTGAGTGGATAGGATTCTAGTGATTGACCTGCCACCATGGGAATAACGTTGGGTATAAACCCTTTCACCCCAAGAACATTCCACTGTCATTTCTTTGGTCATATTGAATCCATAGTGAACTTATCCGGGGCTAAAACCCACTGGCAAGACATTAAGGTTCCAAAGTCTGGAGTTATATTCCCAGTCTGTGACTTAGGCACATCCCTGATTCTCTGATCTTCAGAATGCAGTGATGAAATACCACCCAGGCTCCAGACCTTGAGGAGAAATCACTGAGAGGCACGGATGCAAGCCTGCGGTAAAACATAAAACATGAAGCTGCGCGTGAACTGGCAGTGCTCTTACTGCTAGTTTAGTCAGTAGCCTGACTCTTACCTCTGCCCCACATATGTGAACCCCTTGACCTATTTTTGAAAACTTTACTATAAATTAGAATCTTTATCACAGGTAGAGAAATTTTAACTATTCAAGTCTGTTTCTTTTAGAAACTCTAGAGAAATATTGGTTCCAGTCTTCTCAAATTCTCTGTGGATCCTATCCATCTGGATATAGAGACAATCAAGATTAGGACATAACTTTCCACCTGAGCATCAGATTTTAATCACAGACTCTTTCCTGCTTGCAGTTAGAAAATGAAGCCCCTGCCTACCTCTCTTCTCACTCCTCATTAATGCCAGGACCTTATACTCACCATGAGAGAGCAAACCCTGAGAGCCATCTCACCTGCTGGCAAAGGTCAGGGCCCAGGCTGTGGCCAGGTGAGGCATCAGCCGCGGGGTCTGTGTTCCATGTGCAATGATCTCAACCTCCTCCTTGGCTTCGGGTGCAAACTGCCTCCAGCTAGAGAGAATCAGGGAGACACAATTTGTACTGAAATCCAGCAGGCAACTTCATTTCCAGGGCTAAAAGTGCCACACAGCTGTTAGCCTTTCAAATACTTTGCAATACAGAATGCCTGAGTCTCCTAAAATGCGTTTAAGATGATATCAACAGTTTCTGAACATAGTCTGACAGAAAGCTTTTTAGCCCTTCTGGAAATTAACCTTCCCACCATGGAATATTTTTTCAGCAGCATGTCTAGCATACAGGGTAATTTTTACTTCTTAACATTTACGTGGCATTTTATAGTTCCATGCGCCCCACGATCATCAATTAGTCAGCCTTACTAGGTTTAGGACATAATTAATAGGAAGGGAGAAATACCCTAGGACATATTTCAAGAGGACATTCTCAACCAGGAGGCAGGCTACCCCTGGTGCGAGTTCCTGTCAGATCACAGGGGGCCATTACTTTCAGCCCACCTAAATCCCCCCGCTGTTCTCCACCTCCTGCCTTATACCGGGTGCTCTGTGGACAGCTACTGCTCTGCGCTTGCTCCGCAGCAGCTGTGTCGGGCTGAACGGAGGCCTTTCAGAGCAGTTTATAAATTGGCGTGGGACTGTCCCCAGAGGCAACAACCACCTCAGGACTAATGTTACAGAGCCCCACAGTTGCTGATGGCACAGAACCTGGCCTCTCAGAGGTTACCGCTCTGCCCCATGATGATCACCAACCCTGGGCTTGGCAGCCTGCTGTCTTTGCACATCTCTGACCTTCATGTTGACTTCTGAGAGAACATTTCACACACACAGGCGTGCACACACACACATACACACACAAACACACATATACAAGCACACACACACAGGTACAGACAGCACCATGCTATCAGACAGGCAAGACAAACCACATTTCAGATGCCAGTGAAATGAGGATATCTATCTATAAATCACTCAAGAGAAAGGAAACAGCAATTTTTTTAAATTTTATATTTGATAGACTTTCTTAAGCACAATCTGATGCCTTAATATCCCGTTTATTTGTAATTAAAAGAAGGGCACCATGATTTTTAGTGCATAAGGTGTCTAGAATTTATAACCTGGCCCTGTCATATGGGTGGGAGGTGGTGAGGACATACTTCACAGAGAGCACACACAGGGCAGCTGCTTTCGAGCACTGTCAATGCAGGCTTGTCTTCTGTGAGCACACACTTCCCTAGGCTAACTACTGCACAGATGGTTGTCCAAGGAGCACTCCCCTACCCACCCTCTGTCTATGCCCTCCGTCCAACCCAGCATATGTCCAACTCCAGCAGGGCACAGTGCCAAACAAGGCCTGACAGTCTGTAAAGAAAACGCCCTCTCAGCTTCTGCTGGATCCTTTTGAAACCAATAAAAAAAAATCGCAGATCCAATAACAGCATCATCATTATGTCAGGTCATTTTACCAACTCCATTTGTCCCCACCCTCTTGCCTTTCATTTCTAAATGCAGTGATTATACTGTAATTTTCTCTATGGTCACTGTGACTAAAATCTTGGTCTGCTGAAACCAGACATGGCCACACACGGCCCACTCCTCTGGGGTACATTTGCACACCAGCTCTGTGCCCGCACCACACTAGGCATCCGCCAGGGTCAGGAAGGATCAAGCCCAGCCTCTGAGCTCACAGCCGGGGACACAGAGAGAATCATACCATGTGCCGAGGGTGGGAGAGCCCCGGGCATGACCCCTGCCCACCCCTCCCTGTCAACCACCATTATTTCCTTGTGCACTGCTAGAGCATCACTGCAGGAAGCTTCACCACGACAGCGACAGCAAAAGAAGCCACTGACCACAGCACCTTTTAGTTTTTGTTTTGCTGAAAAGTAATTACAATGAGATACAATTTTTAACAGCACCCCATCAAATTTTCTGGGTTTTTTTATGTGAAGTCTTTCTCTTGGCCCCACCCAGAGCAGACACTCAAGATTTGCTGACTGAAAGAAAGAATGAATGAACTTTTCCAGTGAGGAAATGCCAATGACGCCCAGTAGAGTGGCTCACTTAGGACCTCACAGAGGTCCCTGGTTGCCAGAGCTGACCTCTGCCCTGGTGTACCTCAGTTTCCCGATTTAGGCACACCTTATAATCAGTCCCATTTCCTCTTTGATCTTCACAGTTCAACTGCGGTGACGACTGCATAGCAGAAAGAGGCCACCATGGGTCATGTGGCAGGCCTCAGAATGCATTTCCTTGTGCTTGGTAAGGGGACAAGTTTAGTTAATGCACTGATGACTCACCAGGGGAATTTCATAAAACTCAGGGGTTTTCATAAGAATCTGAATTTCCAGCCTTTCTTGAAACCTAGACAGGCCTGGCAACTCTGGACCCCATTCTTATGAGGTGGCCCACTGGAGCTCCTCCATTTAGGGCACAACGGTCTCCTGAGGGCCCCAAAGCCCTTTCTGGGAGACACTAACCCAGGCCCCAGGAGGCCCTGACGTTTCAACCCCTGCCACAGTGGATTTATTTACTTCAACCAGAGTAAATCATCATCAGCATGCTAACTTGTTAATTAAGCTCAGATTATGATAGACAGCCAAGCATAGGCCTTCGGAAGGAGCCTAGAACTCATGAGGACTCCTAGGGGACAGACAGTGCTGGTGGCTCATACAGCATGAAATTCAGTGGCCTCTGCCTGACATCCAACAGCCTACTTCGGCCCTACTTGAGCGCCCAACCATTTGGCCTGCTAAGCTGCATCCCGGGCCTCTGTCCAGGCAAAGCTCTCTGCCTGCGGCCAACCTCACCCCCTAGGTGCTACATGCCACTCTTTTGGTGGCCAGCCAAATGCCCTCTCCTGCCCTTGAGACTTCCTCCCCTCCTCAACATGCTCCTTCAAAAACCAAACCAAGCTGAACAAAGCAGAAAGCGGCTGCTTCTCAGAGCATTTCACCCATCAGTCCTCCCACTCGGGAGGTCATCTCCCCCCTTCCCAGCTGGTGCCCGTGCACCTGTACTAACCACATGCTCTGCTGTGTTAACTCTGGGGCGCTGCTGACCCAGGAGGGCCCTGCCCCTCCTACGACCGGCCGATTCCTGGAGGCTGCAAAACACTACTGCTCTGTGAACACAGGCAGAGCCAACCTACGCAAGCCTGTGCAAGCCGACAGACGCAGAGCCCACACCCCCAGCCACCTTGTTTATCCACTTCTCTTTCTCTGGGCCACTATTCCCCAGCTCTGATCTCCACAGGACCAGCAGCAGCTCAATGCCCCAGAACCTTCAGAAAAATTATTTAAACTAGCCAATCCTAAAGCTGCTTACCCAGCCTCACCCAGTTCTGTCCACAGAAACCATGATGAAGCTCTTGTCCAGGCTTCTCCATGCTCCCTCTGCCTCCTGCCCGACCCCAGTGCTTCCCCATGTGCTCCTTCCTCTAAGAACTGGGCAGAGCATCTTTTCAATGGTGGTCATCTGCTGGTCTGCAGGCCTCACCATACTGAACAATAATATGTTTTAAAACAGCACCAGTGGCCAGACTCGCAGCTCCCTAAGGGCAGGCCTATTCCGTCTTGATGAGCCCCACCTTCCTGGGTCTGAGTGCTTGGGAAGGAGTGAAGGCAGGTGACAGACACATGTCCTGCCGTCCCTCTGCAGCTCCACACCCACCCCTCCATGTCTCCTTGGAACGTTTGCTTGTTTACTAGATGCTCTGACAAAAGCCTGGCTGGTAGACCCCAGAGTGCTGAGTGAGAGCTGCCAGGCACTTAGCAGGACACAAAAACAGTGAGGAACCCACCCTGCCCTGTGTGCAGCAGCCCGCCCATTCTGGTTTACTGCTGGTTTGGTTTGGTCTTTGTGTTTTTGCTGGGGACCAGAAGGAAACAAACGAGTGGGCAGGGAGCAGGCAGCACCCGCACTCTTTCCTTCCCTCTCTCTGGCCCGACACATGGACAGTCCCCAAAACACTGAGCCAGGGGCTCCCGCTGGCTTCTTACCTGTCAGACATGTTCCTTGGCTTCTCCAGGGGAAAAGTGACACTAAAGGCTAGTGACCCTTCTCCTACCCAGAGATGCAGCCAGAGGTCATCCCCGTGACTGCCACCATCAGCCCCCAACTGGTAAACGGGCCCCAACAGAAGCCGCAGAGAGAGGAGCCTCAGGCCTCAGACCTTGGGCTGGGGCAGAACCTCCCACCCTCTTATTTATGCTCCCTAGTAGCCACACTGAGGGTTGTGATGGTCCAGGCCTATCCACTGGTTGCCAGCATCCTGGCAGGCTGCCCTGAACATGGCTCATAAGGCTGTAATCCCTGCAGCTGGCCAGCAATTACTGCCTGCCAGACATTTATACTATTCCATTTTATGATCTATATGGACATAATATTCTTCCTGTCTTTTTCCTCCACTGGGTTACTATTTTTCTTTAAAAACACATGCAAGGGCTATATTTTTCTCTGTAAACAGAATTTTCATTTCAGTGCCGAGACAGCCCTCAAAGTCACTGAGCTCCAGTTTCTCATGGTCTTTAAAAACAGAAGGGGATGCATGTGCACACAACAATATCCATGTGAAAATAAAGCCATGGCTCTGAGGGTGCTGTGAATGATGCCACTTAAAATTATAGATTTGAAACGCTATTTCTGGATTCCAGCAACTCATGAGGAAGAGAGGAAACATTTATTTCGGGTTGTTTTATTTCATTCCCACTCAATTTTGAACACGGCTGCTTAAAGCAACATTCATGGCAAGTGACATGGCTATTAATCACTAACGCAGCTACTGCACGCGCCGACCCTTGGGAGGCCGTGCTGCCCGCCTTCCCAGCCTCCCTCTGGTCTCTTCTCCCAAAGGAGGGCAGTGACCTACTAAAAAGATAATTGCTTCGCATGTTTCCTGCTCGGCAGCATCATTGCATCAGTCTACTCTGAATGACATCCAGTCACATCAGATGAAGGAAAGGAGCTTGGTGGCTGGGCCTCGCCCTTGACCCTGAGATTTCTTGGGGTCAAACTGGTTCCCGGGATCTGTGTGCTAGA